GCTGGCCACAGACATTAGAGGACAGTTTCTCGATCCCAGTCTAATATCAATGAAGCAGAATAGGACAATCCCAAAAATGCTGTCATGAACAAAACAACAGGGGAGGTTAAAAAACCTTGCCCAGTCACTGCAGCTTTCCCTGGCTCAAGGATTCTCTGTATGCAGCTTCCCCTCACTATGGCAGTGCCCTAAACTGGCAGGCTAGTGCAACTATAGAACTACAGTGCTCCAGTTTGGGGTTGGGGGTGTCCCAAGAGATATGGGCAGTCAGATGTGTGCACACTATCACTATCTACTAGTACCCTGTGAGCTGCGTGTTCTCAGCATGCCTCGGTGCCAGGATGAGCGTCCTCCCCCGCTACCCCCCGCACATGTGCGGCACCAGCGCGCACACGAGTGAGGAAACTGTCAGAAATGTAAACAGATAGCGGTGGCTGTTTACATTCAATCGATTGGGCGTCTCTAGAGACGCCTGATCGCTTGTACTAGGTGCGGGTGTGCGCCCCCCACCGTCTCCTTTGCCGGTCCTGAGATCCACTGTGCTCGGTGCGGCTGGGACCGGCACGGTGACTGTAAGTGGAGATCAAAGGGAGTAGGGTATACAATCTCCCTTTGATCTCCTCTCTTCTCCCCGAATGCAGGAAGAGATGTATATTACATCACTTCTGCATTCCTCTGTCACTCTTCCGTTACAGATGCCGGTGAGAAGCTGATGAAGCAGATCTCTGCTTCATCAGCTTCTCTGGGGGTCCCTAGGTGACAGTAGGGGTATTAGAGCCCCCTGATGTCTCCATAAAGAGGACCTGTTATGTGAATTGGCTATCACATAGGGTATTTCTTAGTCCCCTATGTGATAGCAATAAAGTTAAGTGTGAAAAAAAAAAGTGTTAAAAAAATTAAAGCATTAAAAAAATAAAAAATAAAGAAGCTTAAAAAAATTGTTTGGTGTCTATTTACCTGACGTGACCCCGTCTTTTATATTTTACCAAAAAATTGGGGTGATAATAAATGTTTCATAACATTTCATAAGGAAACAGGGTTTTTTTTTTTTTAAATGTAGGGTACTTTTTTTGTTATATAGTAAAAAATAAAACCCATAGTGGTGATTAAATACCACCAAAAGAAAGTTGTATCTGTCCCCAAAAAATGGTATAAAATTCATTTCAGTACAGCGCTGCATGACGGAATAAATGTCAAAGTACTGCAGCGCTAAACACTGAAAAATGGCCTGGCCAGGAAGGGGGTGTAAACGCCTGGTCTTCAAGTGGTTAAAGTGCATTTTTTTATGTTTAGAGTAGTTCCGCGCAGACAACCGCTCCTGTGTGAATGCAGCCATGGTGCTCCTGTCCATTCATAAACTGTGGAGACAGTATCAGTTACTATGTCCACAATCATGAATGAACAGGAAGTGATCTATGGTTCTTCCTGTTCATTCATAGCTGGGGACACAGTAAGACTAGCAAGCGCTCAGTTATTTACAAACACTCAGCGATCAGGTCAGGTTCACACTTGGGTGATCCGTGACCGCGTGGCAATCATGCACAGAAATCAGACCACCATTGATCGCGCTGGCGGTGCCATTCTTTTCGCATGACATAATAGTCGCACCGTGCAGATCGCGCAGTTTTCCGCCGTTTTGCAATCGTGGCTAAAAAAAAAAAACCCCCGCCTGGAGAACACATGTTGATTGACGCTTCATGTCAAAACACTTGAAGCATGAATAAACCGATGTGTTCTTCACTTCAATATGGTGGGCTGGTGGCATCTTTAACAAGTTTCCGTATTGGGACCACCATCTGCGGTCACTTTGAGCACTGACAGGAATACCCGGTAAGGAGTGCGGCTGGATTCTGAAATACATGAAAAAAACATGTACCTTTTTTTCAGCAATCGCCACGCGGATGTAACCCCATTTATAATCAATGGGGGCCGCACGGTAAACGCTGTGTGTCAAGCGCACACAAAAGCACGGTCCTGGGATCGCCCAAGTATGCACCCGGCCTCAGTCCTGATTGCTGAGTGTTTGGACTCGCCTGTCAGAGGAGGCTGAGTGGGGCAGTGTAGGAGAGCTCGGCCTTCTGCGACAGCTCTCTCCTCCCACACAGCTCCCCATCCTGAGAGCATCTCTCCTACCCCGCTAGGTGCCGATCTGTGCCCCCCTCCAGTCCCCACTGCCTCTGCAGGCAGGTGAGCACAACAGGGATTGGGGAGGACACAGACCAGCGCCCAGCGGGGAGGAGCGAAGATAGGGATGCACCTTATTTTCGGTCTATCAACATTTTGCCCATAGTACCATTTTCATCCGAAATGTTTGGGCAGCCAAAATTTCGATGCATCCCTAGTTGACTGTTTTTTTATTCTTGTCTAGGAAGCTAAAATAACTAGAGCTGCAACAACTAATCGACTAAATCAATAATGAGAATAGTTGGCAACTATTCGCATCATCGATTAGTTGGTTGGGGAAGGGAGAGAGGGCTTTTTTTTAATACAACCAATCGATTAGTTTAAAAAAAAAAAATCGGGTAACTAATAGATTATGAAAATAATCGTTGGCTGCAGCCCTAAAAATAACAAAGCAATATTTACCTGAACAGCGATCCCTGCTTGCTATGAGGGCTTGTTCACACCAGTTACAGTGCGTTCAAGCAGAAAGCATTGTATCGCATCAAGGCTGGCTCTCTGCGTTCAGGTCAATGGCACCGCAGCCACGCCCCCGCCAGCAGTGTGATTGCCCACACCAGAACGGGTGGCACAACAATGCAGCAAGCATTATTTTCTGCGATCACATTGGACTGGCACGCAGGCATCGTTGCGCCAAGCGGTGCAATGACTTGAATGCCCCAGAATTCAGGAAGCCGACCAGGATGCGATTAGGGCTGCAACAACTAATCGACATAATCGATTATAATCGATTATTACGGCAGTAGTGTGTCCACGGCCGGGGCTTCAGAAGAAGCCCCAGCCATCGGGGGGAAACGCGTCAGGATAGCGTGTTTCAGCTTTTCTAGACACCCTGTGCCGACCTCTATACGTTCGGGTGAGAACGATAAACTAGGAATCTCTACAGCCACCGAAGGGAGTGGACCTATCAAATCTGATGCGGACATTGCCGCACACAATGATAGCGGCTTCTGATTGCCACAGCTAAGCCGGGGAGACAGGAGTGAGCGTCTGTCCATTACAGCGAAGGCACTGAATCGGGAGACATAGGCGAGCCAATGCCGGTGTGATTATTTGCAGCTGCCATCCCGTGCCGTGTCATTGGACACACTACTGCGGAAACCTCACTATACTCCACTCATCAGCACACTCGTGCATTTTGAAAACCCTTCTGGAGGCTCAAATGTTCAATACCCGTATCTTTACATTCAGGTGATTCTAGGGAAGCATTTTAATTGGTTTTAAATGTCTTGTTATAGGTGTCTTTATATATATTAGTATCATTAAACTTTGTTATATTATATTATATTACGCATTGTGATCCATTTATCAGACCATCTCCACTTTTAGGGATTTCTTGTTTAAAGGGGATTGTACTTTTTTTGAATTAAGTTTATTGAAACCCTAGGATTTGGTCACTACTATACAATTTTACTCAGCGTAAAGCTCCTATGTGTTCCCCTTGTTTCTTGAAATAATGTACTATTGCTGGGCTTTGTAGTCCTCTATAGCCGGTGCCATTCTGCATTCATTGCTGTATAAATTTACACTTTCCTTTTCACTATATTGCACACCACACTATTTTTTTCCACCGCTCCAAGCTTGCTCCTGTGATGGACTACAATCTCAATACAAACTAGTAGTCCATCACTGGAGCCATTTTTAATTTTTTTTAATTGTTTATCCGATTAACCGATTAATCGAACTTAATAATCGGCTAACTAATCGATTTTGAAAATAATCGTTAGCTGCAGCTCTAGATGCGATACTGTGCGCTCTAGCAGCTTACCACGCTGGAACGCACTGTATATGGTGTGAACAAGCCCCTAGACCAGGCCCTTCAGCATCGCTGCCCCTCAATCCAGCAGTTTAAGGTCATGTGGGTCATAATATCCTATACAGTTTACTTTATAGAATGTGAGGATGCCAAGGGGCTTTCCATCACTGGAGCAGAGGAGGAGACAGTCTGGAGGGAGCGGTGTAGGATTCAGCCGGGATCGTAGTTCGAGTGAGTATAACTGTTATTTTCATTCCCTAGAAAAACACACACTTAACCCTTGCAGTGCAGGGTGGCCCCACTGAAAGGTTAAGATTTGGTGTGCCTGGGGTTCTGCTGTAAAACTGCAGCAGCAGCCAATCAGCTTCTAGCTGCCTCAGCTTGTTGAGTTGGGCTCTGGAAATGAAAGCTAGAAGGCGATTAATTCACATATGACCCTGCTCCAATCTCAGTGAACTCCCCTCTGTGTATCCAACAATCACCTTCTTTCTTTTTTCTGCCAGAAAACAGTTTTCACTTTCTCCTCTTCCTATGTAGCATCCCTGTGCTTCTGATCTCCTCCGGCCTCTTTGCAGCCACTTCCTGTCTCCCTGCACTAGCTCTTGTGGGAAAGCTCCATGTCATTGCTCAGGGAAGGCTTCCCGATGGTGACAACTCTGGGACACGCCTATGCAATGAGTGTGGGCAGGCCCACTTCTAGTCTCCAGCATGTGGCATGGTGACAACACAGAACAGCAATTAAGAGGCAGGGACAAAGTGTTGTCACCCTCTCACAGGAGGGTCACCAGGTAATGTTTTAGTGAACACTGTAGAACTTTTGCAGTGAAATTGTTATAGATCATGTGACATGTCAGTGCCTGGGATCAGATCTGTAACATCCAAACATGTTCTGTATGCATGTGTGTGTGGGCGAGCTGGCAGCTGTGTCTGGCCTGCTCCTGACAGCGGGGTGACAGCTGGCCATGGCCGGGCAGCCCTTCCCTAGAGTGAGGAATGGGAAGGAGGGTGTGCCCGGACACAAGGCAGGGTGTGCATAGTGTGCCCTGTGGCACGGGGTACTTACTGGTTGGTAGGGGGCGCACTGAGCGGAATCTCCACCTCCTCCTCTTCATATTCCGGTCCGTCCAGGGAGTCCGCTTCTTCCACCGGGCCCAGCACCAAGCCATCGAAGGCGAGAGGCAGCGGCGGCAACGGAGGGAAGGCTTCGGGGCCCTGATGAGAGAGCAGCGAGGCGCTGGTGGCCAGAAGTGCCGACTCCCCGCCTCCTGTCAGCAGCCCGAGAGAGCCGGGAGCCGCCGACATCCCCGATCCCCACACAGAGTCCAGCGGCGGAATGAAGAGGGTGTGTGCAGCCGTCTACCTCCTGCTCACTGTCAGTCCGGCTCCTCTCACCGGCGGCAGCTGAGCGGGGGTCTTCCTCTCACAAACACACACCGAGCTGGCTATGGGGAGGGGGCGGGGACCGCACGCGCCAGACACCAGCCCCTCACGCGACGTTCCTTCTCGAGGCCCCCCGCGCCAACCTCGGGCGCGCCCCCGCGCA